ACAAAATTGCATCAGAATTGATTTGATTAACTGATCATTGTCAGTGTTCAATTTTTGAATTTTCCCGGCTCTTGATTTGAATCAAGCACAGGCAATAATCGCTCGTTTAACTAATTCTTCAATGAAGCAACTCTTTTAGAATCTTGCTACCATAAATTTCGCCATTTTCTGCTCGATGTTTAATTGTTTTATGACAATGGAAAGCCAAAAAATTATGATAGATTTGATTGGTTGATCATAAAGTTCAATTCTTGATTATTAACTAATTCTTCATTGAAGCAGCTCTTCTAATACCTATGTTGCTACCATAAATCCGCAAATTTTTTTCTACATGTGCCATTCATCATGTCAATAAGAAGCCTCAAAATGACATCCGAATTAATTTGATTAGCTGATCATTATCTATGTTCAATTTTGGATTATTTTTTGCTCTTGATTCCACTTGCTCTTGATTCCACCATTACACAAATGCCGGGAATAATCACTCGTTTACCTGATTATATTCTTTAATATAGCTGCTCTTTTAAAATGTTGCTATCATCATCATCATGGGCGATCACTCGATACTGAGTGCGTATGATTAACTTCTATTCTATTCTCATTGTCAATTTTGGACCGCGCACTCTTCCACAGTGTTAATACGCCCAGCCGCCGGCACCATTGTCTCTTCCTCTGTTTGCTCACTCCTTCCTGGCGGTGCCTGTTTTCAGTCTTGTGTCTGCGTCGCTGTTTTTAAAAGGTTTGTGGGCCATCGTGGACTAGGTACTCGACACCATAACGTATCATTTGCCGTCGTCTCTCAGTTGCTGGTGTCGATGCGGCACTCTTCCATATTCTTCCCAAAAACATCTTTGTAGCATCTTTGTTAACCTCCCTGATTTCGATTTCTCTCTTTCAGTTGACTGTAGAGAATCTCTCGTAGAAGACGTATTTCGAGCATGCGCACGAGAGGTGACCTATCCAGCGAAGTTGGTGCTTAATGATGAGAAGTTCCAAGCTAGTTGTTTCTGCCGAGGCTTTTTATGTATATTCTGTAGGTGGCCCATGTTTCGCAACAATATGTAAGTGTTGGTAATACAACTGCATTGTAGAGGCGAAGTTTGGTCTCAGCGCTGATGTGATTGTTGAAGAGTCGCTCTAGAAGTCGTCCTAACCCCACGCTAGTGCACTTTAAGCGATGTTGGATTTCAGCGTCAATGATTGTATTCGCTGACAGACGGCTCCCATATCCGGTGTAGATTGGAATGCAGAAACTGCATCTTGTTAATTGACCTCTAGGCCGATTCTCTTGTATGCCTGGTTGAATGCATTGATAACTTCCTGAAGATCTTCCTCTCTATTGGCCGTCACGACGTTATTATTCGCATATCGATGTCATCGATACTTTCGTCTTGGCTTTTAATATATTTAGGTTGGATAAGCCGCCATCAAGTCTGTACCAGAATTTCCACTCCTGACGGCAGGTGACCCTCGACAGGCTGAAATATGGATCTTATAGAAAGAGAAAATAAAGTGAATGCCCTGTTTAATGCCTGTAGTTATTCGAAAAGACTCTTCTTGTCCACTTAGGATGGTTACATTCAAATTATCATGCAGCAGGCAAAGTATCTGGATGAAGGTACTTTCGCGAATACCCAACCTTTGCCAATATCTTCCAATGAGCTTCTCTGTTGGCCGAATGCTTTTGCTACATTTATGAAGGCTATGTATAGAGGTCGATTTTGTTCTCTGGAATTCTCTTGCACTGAAAGTCATATCAGCTGTACATCGGTTTTGTCTCAAGCCACACTGTGTCTCTGGGAGGTTCTCTTCGACAGTTGGGATTGCGATTTGATATAATGCTGACAAGTATTTTTCCCGCAGAAAGTAAATAAATTCCTCTATAGTTTACACATTGAGACTTGTTTCCCTTTTTAAAAATGGAAATTATGGAGGTAGTATATGGGCTTGGGGACTTAGTGTAGGGCCTCCAGTTCTTGCTGTATTGGTTTCTGTGGAATTTCATTGAAGATGTCATTAATAATTTGTGATTTTCTGTTCGGTTGTTCCTGAAAGTGTTCCTATCAACGAGAATTAATGGGAGAACTCTCTTTAAGTTGGTCCGAAGTCCGAATACTATCTTAGTAGCCTGAAAGAAGGCCCTGGTGCTAAATAATTATAGACCGCTTGAAGATGAAATAAAAAACACGAAAATTGATACGTCTGAGAGGAAAAGGTCAATTTGAGAATCGGGCCAGAAAATTGTTTCTTATTTATCCCATGGCAACTTTGACAGTGAATATCTTGAGAACTAATCTTTCGATTTGCAAAAACAACGCACTTGTGACGAGAATCAAAATAAACCTTTGAAACAAGGTACCGTTCGACCCATCTTCCCTATCTAACAAAAAAGTTCGAAGGTCACCCCACCCAAGGGGTGCACCCTAGCGAAATACCGATGGGGTCAAAAAGCTTCCTCCTCGAATACCAAATTGCCGTATCCGAGCGTTTATTTTAAATCGGCCTTAAAATACCCTAAAACGCCTTTGTTTTGATGTTCGTGAAACGCCCTATATGACTGTATACTGTTACACAATGGGTTTGTTCGGACTTGGTTCAAAATCAGATCTGAATTGAACTGCGCTTGTGTATCTGTTCATATCGAACACATATAAACAAATGTGCAAGCGCAGTTCAATTCAGAAATGATTCTGAATTAGTCTGAACAAACCTTAGAGAGTTCTCGTGCCGTCCAAATTTCATATACCGTAGCGCTATTTGACAAGTATGACAGTTCCTACGGTATTATCGTTAGCGGAGCCCGCTACCTAACGGGACTTAGCGGATGCCTTACCGTAACGCTATCCTATGTCAAGATTAGTTTACGCTCCATTTACGTCTGCAAGAACGGCAACTTCTAATAATTTCTCCATAAAAAACACCAAAGGAAAATTAATTAGTCAGGAATCTTCAAAATAAATAAAAGTTAAGAAACAAGCAAAAAAAAGTTGGGTTAGATCACTCAACTCAGCTGTCAAATGTAAACAGAATAAGGGATTAGAGGATTTTTGCATCTTCGTGTCCGAGAACTATAAAATACCATGTAAAATACCGTATTGTTAGCGTTACCGTATTAGCGTAGCATCTGCGGCACGAGAACTTTCTAATATCAAATTTATCCTACCTTATTCGATTAGTATTGGAATCCAGTAATACATTTGCTGAATTCCAATACTGCCAGCACTCCCAAATAAAGCCAATTTCGAAAAACAAAAAATGCGGAATAAAAATGCAAAATATTCATTGGCTATTCATGAAATTATTGCAACATGTAGAATCTCCCACGCTGAAAAATGGATCCAATCAACCTCTAATTTAAATAAAAAGATTCGAATCTGCATACTATTATCTTTTTTTATTATTCAGCTTCATCTTGAAACTTTTCGAAACTCGCGTTCGACGGATAAAGATAAAATTTTATCCGTTCAAATATAGAACAAGCAAAAAAGTTGAAGCTGATTTCAATTGCATTTCTGATTTTTCCAATATATAGGTACTGCAAGTTTAACGAACCTATTCGATTTTGTGGCTTTATTTGGATTGAACTTTAACCAATTTGACATAAAGCTATAAGCAGGGCATAGAGAATGTTTAAAACGTTCAATCTTGCTATTGGAGGATTTTTCCTTGCTTTCTAAAAACTGCATTTCGTGCAAAAAACACGCTGATTTCGCAACTTGTTACATAAATAAATATTTGATGTCTAAATTGAAAAAGATAATTATTTTTATCTACAGCGTTTGGTCATGACGTTTTTACATAAATAACCATTTTTCAAGTATTTGAGTTGTGCTCATAACACAACTAGTGTATCATGGACTAGGTTATGAATTCATAACACAACTACCTAGTGGTGTTATAGACTAGGTTATGAATCTATAACACAACTATTTTTGGTGATTTGACAAATGTCAAATGTTGATTTCTAAAACTAATACTGATGCAGGTAGTTTTGTAAATCTCAAACAGAGGGCGGGCAGTTGTAAGATTTTCTCCGAACCGAAGAAAAAGTTTGCGATGATAATTTCAAAAAACAATCCAGTTTTGTTATTTTTATATGTAATTTAATTTGAATTATTTCTTTAATTATGATATTTTGCTAAGTGAATAAGTTTTTTTTGAATAAATTTTTCAACTTATTTTGTACATCTAACATTTCAATTATGTTTATTAGATTATAAAGAATATTTAAGTAACTAAATATTTCGTCAATACCGATTTACGATAGAATATAAATTATTTTTAGCACCACTTTTCAATAGGAATTCTATAATTTCTTATCTCCATTATTTATGCACTTTCCAAAGTGAACAATTTTTGGAATGATTCAACAGATATTTTACTTTCATTTTTCCATGATTATTATTATTAATTGCAGCAATATTTTAAGTTATCAATATTTTCTACTTTATAAGCAGTTTTGGACTTTGATTTTAATGACAATCGAAGATTTCTATGTTGTCAATAGAAACAGCGAGACCTTTGAAATGGCTAGAATTTGAGCAATGGACCCATTTTCTACAGTATTGACTTGAGTACCCTTCCTCAACAGTTGCTCTATCATCCTTTTTCCATGAGTTATCATTAACTGTAGTAATCTTCCGAATCATTAATATTTACCTTTATGTAATCATTTTCGGACTTTGATTCAAAAGGTATTCAAAAATTGCCAATCCAATATAAACAGCCACGCTGAATGATGAATGTGAATATTATTTGCGAACAAGTGATATCGAGGAGTCTTATGAATGATTATTTCGTAATCGGATCATTTCCTCTAATGCTTCACTGTTACATGGAGTTTTACCTGTTAACTTTGAGCAATCAAGTTCTTCAATCCGAATACCGTCCAAAGATCTGCACGGACTAAGTGCTACATAAGCTTGTCCAGCAGCAAACAGTCGAGAGCCCAGATAAATGACTGCATGATCAACTGTACAACCTTGCATCTTATGGACGGTTTATGCCAAACTCAGGATTAATGGCAACATTCGTCTCTCAGCAGTTCCATAGCTGTATTTTGCTGGAAACTGTATCGATATTGGCTTAGTACACAAGTGTACACCATCTGAACCGAAATCGATACGGACTGACGGGATGTCTTCTGCATATAGTTGGTCCCTACGAAAATTTGGCCAGATGATTTCTGTAATAAAACCCATGTTACCATTCACTAAACCTTTTGACAGGTCAATATTCGACCTTAACATCACTTTAGCTCCCACAAATATTTTCAATACATTGGGAAGACCTCCTGTTTTATTTATATCATTAGGTATCACAGAATTTAAGTCCCTATTACCTAAGTTTCGTGTAGCATCAGCGAGCTGGTCTTGTGCTTTAATTGTATAAATAAGAGTCCCTTTATCCTCAAAACTCTGGAGAACTTTTTCATTATGTCTAGCAACTTGGTCATTCGTTGAATAAATTCTTAACGCTCTCTCAATTGAAAATTCATTAGTCGTATCTGTTGACACTTTTCCAAGAAGAACTTCGAGATGGTCAGACGTCAATTCTCCAATTCTTAGGGCATTAAGCACATCTATAAATGTCGTTTCTCCTTGTTGGCGCATGTTTTGTTTGAGTTCAACCAAGTGGAATTGCCGCCACAAATGTGTAACGGGTTTCATGTGTTCTGGTTGTTGAAATACTTGATGTCCTCGGACAAGTGGTAACTGCATCAGATCACCAAAGAGTAAAACATTTATGCCTCCAAAACAAGCGTCCGGGCTTTTCAGTTGACGCAAACGAGAGTCAATCATGCAAAGCATCTCATAAGGTACCATAGAAATTTCATCTATGAATAGAAACTCAACGTTTTGCCATAATTGGCGCATCCCTCTTAAATAATTGCCAGTTAGAAGTGGCATGCTAACAATAACTCCATCTTTTTGTACTGGTAGTTTTACCAGACGGTGTAGTGTAGATCCACCGACCAACCGTGCTGCAACTCTAGTGAGAGCACCAATTTTCACTACCGATTTCCCATAACATCGGTTAACTTGGTTTTTCAATAGATTAAAGAGGAAAGTTTTTCCGGTACCTGCTCCACCAGTTACAAAAATTTTCTCTCGTCTAATATCACCGTTAAGTTGATTTTTGATACTCTCTGTGATGAAGATGAACAATTATGTTTGATCAATATTCATAGCCTGTTGTGCTCTCTGGAATTGATCATTGCTCATTTCTGTCTCTGGTAATTCTTCTTCCCCAAGTTCAGGATTGATAATCTCTGGCTGTTCTAAAATTTCAAATGCATGTACTTGATTGAATGCATTTTCAAGCTGTTGGTCCCGCTCTCGGAATTGGCGCATATGTCTACTCATTTCCTTCAAACGATTTTCACGATCTAAGAAGGCCTCTTTTGCATTATCGAAACCTTCAAGTAATTCACTTTCCGAACGATAAGGCATATATTGAACGAGTAGGCTGTAGAAAAAGTTTTCTGGATCTGATGTTGCTATAAAGTATGGCACCCTCACAACTGCAGGAACATTCCGCACAACCATTTTTCTCTTATTTAATAAGGTGATGAGTGGGCGACGTATGTTTGGATGCACTTCATAGGCGTCACGATCTACACTTTCCTCGCTCTCGCTTACCTTTTTCGGATAGAATAAAAATGGATGATGTCTTTTTCTTAGAATGGTTCAAACAACATTGCAAACTCTGTAAGACTCATGTTCGCAAAATCGTAGTCAGGATGTTGTAGCGGACGTTTTTCATATCTTTCAAAGATATTGCTATAATAGCCAGTTGCGTGTTCGCTATTGACGAATTGCAATACTCTGTAACGTTGTTCTCGCTTTCTTGCGTTCAGAAAAATGCAACTTCGCGAGCTGTCTCGTAATGGGATGTGACAAAGTCGATACGCACATTCTGCAGCCGATACTTGTCGTTCATGAAGAATCTTCATACATATCCTGAAAAGTTTGCGTGAAATATCAGTTTCTTCACGTTGAAACTGCTGTATTGCTTGCGCAATTCCAGAATCTACGCCTTCAGGTTCTGCTTTCGACAGATACTTTGCTATATAATACGCTATCGCTTCGTTTGATCCGCAGGGCTGAATATCCATGTTGCCTGTCCACAGTCTTAATACCTAACTCTGGGTGGTAATTATTTATCCACGCATCTTCCTTTCGACGCTTGAGTAAACAAATTTTACCTACGCTACGAAGAAAATCATCTGAAGAATGAGACACGATTCGTGTTTCGTCAGAGTCTTGACGTGGAAAGTTAAATCGGCATCTTACAGAGGTATTATTTTTTGTACAAGTTTGTGTATGCCGATGATTTTGACATTTCTTAACTAGATCGTGATGAAGCTCTGAATCTTCTTCTTCTCTATGCATTCTACAGCAACAGTTACGATCGAGAAGAAGTTTCCCTTTTTATGAGTCAAACTCTGGATGATTTTCAATCCAGATCACCATATGAAGGTGAGGACTGCCCCGATTCTGAAACTCAATACGTCACCAATGATCTTTCACTTTGCCGCCAAATACATCATCATTGTTTTTGATAAATTTCATTAGAGCATTTATTCTAATCATGAAATGTCGATTCAAAATTACTGGGTACTTTTCGATAAGTCTTTGAGTCTCATAAATGTCAAGCGTACTAGGATCAACATCAGGTCTACCATCAGCTATTAACAAAGCTTTTCGTTGATCCAACCAGTTGAGATCCTTTGAGCTAAATGTTACAAAGTAGGTTGGAGCTACTAAACATCTGATTTGAGCTAATAGCTCGTTCACGGCTGATCTCCAATAAGCTGCAGAACCCCTCACATTTTTCACATACAGATGGACATCTTCGACCGCTCCTTCTCGATTAACGATTTTCTTGCCACATGCTGAAATAGTGCTTTTGATACGATAATGTTCAAAGAAGGATAAGGCATAAAAGATATAGTCGTTGCGTTGAAATCTTGTATCACTTCCCAAAATTCTAAACTGAAAGTAATCTATTGCTGTAATATTTACAAGTATTTGCTCTTTAAAACCATTTTTTCCATAAGGAAACAAGAAGTACCAGGCAAATTCTTCTGCTTTCAGTTCATGTCCCACATTAACGATATTATCTTTCGTTTTGCGGGTAATCTCATTGAGATTTCGTGAAACTTGTAATTCATCTTCCACATTGGGTTGCATTACATCAATCGGTGCCATCAATGATGTCTGCAGTGGGATTATTTGATCAGTTAATTCTTGTTGAGAAGTGATCGTTTCAGACGCTGCCGTTACCGTCGCAATACTCTGCTGTGTTTCTGTTTTCTCAGGTTCATCATTTATATCAAAGACTTCGACGTCAACATAATCAAGAGTATACTGTACATTTCTGCTGCCTTACAAACCCGCACAAACTCTTCTAAATTATCGCATTCGATGATGCAAGCTTTTCCCATTGCTGTCTTTCGCGCTAGATCCTTTTTGACCGCAAGAATGTGAATTGCTAAAGTAGTATTTATCATTGTAGTGCATCACTCCGAATGATTGTCCACCTGTTATTAATATGCCAGCACTAGATAAGACGAACAGGTCTTCCAGGCCTTGACGAAGGGTGCGACCAAGGTTTCCATTATAATTATCGTTCAAGCTTCCATATATGCTCGGTTCATCGTCAAAAGTAATCTCAAACCTTTTGCCAAATGCGTAGGTACAATTGATCTTTGACCGCATTGAAATTTCGCACCGATAGGTGTAAGAATACTGGCTCTTGGAATGTTTGCCAATGCCATCGCACAGCATTGTACACCTGCAAATCCTGACGTAAATATGACATTGTTTCCTTGATGCCACGAAGCACGTACAATTCTCGAAAAATCATTGATATACATGTACGCACTGGCATTCTCGTCAGGTTCTTCGTTGGTCTCCTCAGCAACCTCCACTGGTGCTTCTTCTACTCTTATTATATCCTCGCCATTCATAACAACATTTTGATCAATAGTTACGTCTTTTTAAAGTGGATTGTTAGTAACTAGCCAATATAGTGCATACACTTTTTGCCTAGATACTGAAAACTGTCGTGTAACGTTAATATTTTCAAGACGCTCAGTAATGACAACTATTCCAGCATTACTTGTGGATCTTGGTAACATCTTCGGCAGATTTTCAGTAACTTCGAAAACATCTTGAGCGAACAATACTGCCTGACCTCGAAAACTATATTGCCCAAATACGCCGCTTAGTTTTATAATTTTAACAAATGGTATAATGCGTGAAATCAGCCTCTGCTCAGCTTGCGATAACTCTGCAATAACTTCTGGAATAGAGCCTGGATCCAGATTGTTCCAGTAAGACTTAGATGGTGCAATATTATTCTTGGAAGTCAAATGGGCCTTGCAACGATTGCAAACAACCAAGCAACTCTTTCGTTTTAATTCGACAGGTAAATATGGTGCCGTTTTAGTATCTACAATCCAGTTAGAAATTTGATGTTGATAACACCGTTTAGTGCAAATTTCACATATCTTATCACAAAATCTGTTAATTGTCTGCCTAAAGCCCGTCATACTGGCTCTACTTGATCTTCTGGACTCAGTATTTCGTTGCTGAATTTCCTGCAAACGAGCCTCTTTGGCTGGTTCAGATTCTGAGGCTCGGGTTTGAGCTGTGTGCTGACGCACTTGCTGTAAACGAGCCTCTCTAGTTTGTTCAGATTCCGAGGCTCGGGTTTGAGCTGCATGCTGATGCATTTGTTGTAAACGAGCCTCTTTGGCTGGTTCAGATTCTGAGGCTCGGGTTTGAGATGTGTGCTGACGCACTTGCTGCAAACGAGCCTCTCTAGTTTGTTCAGATTCCAAGGCTTGGGTTTGAGCTGCATGCTGACGCATTTGTTGCAAACGAGCCTCTTTAGCTCGTTCAGATTCTGAGGCTCGGGTTTCAGACGCACTTTCTGCGAACGAGCCTCTTTAGTTTGTCCAGATTCCGAGGCTCGGCTTTCAGCTGCATGCTGACGTGAATGCTGCAAACGAGTTTCTCTGGCCTCCTTTGACTGCTTGGCTCTGTAATTTTTCATATAGAGCCTTCTTTTCTTCTTTCTCTCCTCTAATTCCTCGCTTGGGAGTCCTGTAGTTCTTTTAATAGACTTTTGTCTACTTTTCTGTGTTCTTGTTGTCTTAGCAGACAACGATCTTCGAAACTTTTCCGAATTAAATTCTCCACAAATATTACAAAACGAATCGAGACCTTTATTACATGAATGAGAATAATTACTTCTTGTAACAGTATACTCTCCAGTAGCCAAGTTGCCCACTACTAAAGAGCTGCAGTCGATTGATGAGGACGCCTGCGGGCCTGCTTTCTCACCCTGACCAGACGCCGATACTGGGACTCCGAATCCCTGCATCGTAAAGTACTCATCACTTGTACCTGCCATGACGGCATACACGTCGTTAACCCAGGAACTTTGCCACTTTGCCAGATAGTTCTGTTGCCCACCGTCACCACGTGGAGGTGCCCTGGTTGCTGTGCATCTAGGAACTAGCGAATTGCTCTTTGGGTGTCTAAATCGTTGAGTATCCGCTAAGAGTACACGAATTCATACTTATCAAACGAATGAAAGTTGTAATTTTCGTTCAGCAAGGGAGAACGTAACAACTAATACGTTGGAGTCATTCTAGAGTTGTGTTGGTTTCCTCTAGTTTGAAATGACCGTAAAACTAGACCGGCGTTGCCTTATCCTTGACTGGAGCTGAGTCATGATGTCTTATTATAAATACGGCCAACGCTAGCAGCACATGACGTAACTAGGTCTAGTAGTATAGGCTTAAGCGGAGGCGGATTCTCGCGTAGTGGACTGTAGCGAGTTGCCACTGGTGACTTGGGCGCAGAACGCATATGCGCAGAAGCATTTGTATACG